TTTATTTAATCACTTTCACCAGAGTGTGGTGAGGGTCGCACAACAGAGCGAGGCTCCAAATTAAGTGCGCCCTATATCCCACCCATCCCACCCCAGGGGAGGACATCCATCACACAGTAATCTCGTGTGTGGGAAATTAACGTCTCCTACCCCAACCCTGCAGGAGACGGGACCTCCATTTATTCGTCCCTATCCGAGAAGACTAGAATATCTAACCATTTCTTGATGTTATAGAAAGGTAGCAAATTCTTCTCAATTATTTTAAGACCTTGAGTGTTGGTCCGGCCGGGCCTCGAACCCTCGACCTCCCGCACAAATCGATATGGACCGGCAAAATGTTCATTGTCGCTCTCGACGAATAAATGAATGAGTTGTAGACCTTCTATTTTGGAAAAACTGACAACTTGTGCGTTATCCAAAACTGATCACATATGCATTGACACCGATAACATTGATAAGAGACAAGGTAGTGCCAGCGGAATACGCAGTGGATATTTTACGAGATTTGAATAAACGTATGCATTTGGATTGGTTCGTCTTATGAAGCTTAATTCTAAGGTCTTGCCCTGTTTTTAGGCATGTTATCTTCCGAGTTCAACTGGGACAAGTATTTGAAGACTTGTGAGGCAAAAGCAGCGCCTGAATATCTCTTCAAACCTGTAAGTTTGTCTTTTGAGGCTGATGTTACAGTTTCTTTCAGTGCGTTGCAAATGCTAGAGTCACTGCTTAGAAGGTAAAATGAAGGTACTGATCCTAAATGAAATGGGCTCCCCCACCCACTCACCCCTTCCCCGGACCCGAATTTCGTCTGGTTCTCCTTGAAATCGCCTGTATTCATTTATTCTCCTGGATGAAGCGATGCTCTGCGAAAGGGAAGTCTCTTTCCCGACTAGAGCAGAACGCATAGACTGGCCAGGATTCGAACCCAGACCATTCGCATCCAAGCGTGCTTACCAGTAGTCCAACACTACTTAGTGGAAATTGAAGAAATTTATTTGGATTTCTGACCATGCCCTGCGGCGTTACAGTTCCACGCTAGGATATGTACTACACGCACCGACAAGTAATTTCGTGTCTCAGGGATTAGTTTACGAAATTTTTCGTCTTGTTTTCTTCAGATCTCACCAACCAAACACGGTTTCAAAATCGGCATGAAGCTAGAGGCCGTGGATCGAATGAACCCGGATCTAATCTGCGTTGCTACGGTGACAAATGTGATTGGCAACCACTTTCTTGTTCACTTTGATGAGTGGGACGACTCCTATGACTACTGGTGTGGGGATGACTGCCCTTACATTCGTCCTGTGGGGTGGTGTAAGGAGAATAATAGGAATCTTAACCCACCCAACGGTAAGTGTTTACGCTTTAGTAGATACCATGCAATTGTTTGAGTGTCAGGTAATTATGAATCCTCGTCGCTGAAGAGAATAGTTTCGGCCTCAAAAAGGGAAGCGTAGTAGACGTTGTGGCGAATCCTTTAAAGAAGGATCATCCATCTTCTCCATCCTGATAAATCTCAGCCCCATATGAGTTCATCCCTTCAAGCTTTTTTTTTTCTTGCTTACCAAACATTTTGTGGTTCACACGATGGTCGTAAATAGCAAGACAGGTCATCGCGAAGTAGCTCCTTCTTTTAGCTTTGTGATAGATACACTAAGCTTTTTTTTTTTTCTGATTTAGACGACGAGTTTCACACATTTCGTTGGGAGGATTACCTTAAATCCACAGGGACTATTGCTGCCCCGTCACATTTCTTCAAAACGGTGAGTTTGATCGGAACAATGCCTTGATAAATTTACAATTGCTGCCTCTGAAAAACGTTATCTTCAGTCTTCGCTCTTTACCCCTCTCGGTTACCTTTTGCTCTCACCGGCTTCTCCATTGTTGAAAATGGCTACATATGCCCACAGAGACTTCTGTCTAAATCAATCAACCAACCTGCCGATTTTATTTCCAGCGGGTTCCACCAGCCTTCGAAGTCAATCACAAGCTTGAAGCAGTTGACAAGAGAAATCCCTCCTTGGTACGAGCAGCCACCGTGGTTGAAGTTAATGAGTACCGATTGCGTATACATTTTGATGGATGGGATGATATTTATGATGACTGGTTTGAGGCTGACAGCTTGGAAATCTACCCAGTGGGGTGGTGTGAAAGGACGGGTCATCCTTTGGAGACCCCCCTCAGTAAGTTGTTGTGTGTATACATTGGAGCATTTGTGATAGAACGCCAGTACATTCATGCGAATTATGGATGGTCTGAGGTTTGTTGATTAAGTAAAGAATGTTTCCAACTGATCCTTTTTTTTGCTTATATAATTTCAGCGACGCGTGAGAAGATATCAAGCGCGGCATGTCCGACTCCTGGATGTAAAGGAATTGGTCATGTGAAAGGAGCGAAATACTCGACACATCACAGCACGTTTGGTTGCCCCTATTCTCTGCAGAACTTGAACAAGGACTCGTGCCTTGTCGATCGACTTTCTAATAATTCCATGACTGAAGAGTCGGATTGGTCTTACGCCTCCAAACAAAAATTAGCAGTGGTAAAAGCTATTAAAGGTATTGGGGTCGTTAAATTTGGTTTAGTTTTCGGAAACGGGGCACCTCGTGCATGACCAACGTTTGACCGCTGTGTTCACTCGCTCGCGGTTCTTTTCCTCGCTCGCGGAAGAAAGAGTTCAAACTGTGAGGAAGCTTGACTTTAAACTAAATCCAATGCAGGGAAAGTGATTCATAAGACAAAAGAAGCTGTGTGGAGGCGCGGTGGCCTCATGGTTAGTGCGCTCGACTCCGGATCGAGTGGTCCGGGTTCGTGCCCCGGCCGGGACATTGTGTTGTGTTCTTAGGCAAGACACTTTACTCTCACAGTGCCTCTCTTCACCCAGGTTTATAAATGGATACCGGCAATTTAATGCTGGGGGTAACCTGCGATGGACTGGCATCCCATCCAGGGGGGAGTAGAAATACTCCTAGTCGCTTCATGCTACAGAAACCGGAGTTAAGCACCGGCCTAATGGGCCATTAGGCTCGTAAACAGACTTTACTTACCAAAGAAGCTGATAAATGTTATCGATCTCAACCAGGAGTAAACTCGTTTGACCAAAGAAGTAGGTTTTCCATTTTTTCGGCATTAACACTCTAACTTAACATTCATTTTTTACCTATTTATTTCTGGCTATTGTGCAGTATCTTGCGTTGCCATCGAAAAGAATATAATCGACTTCCAGTTTTGAAGGCTTGAAAACTACTTCCATTTCAGAGGAAATTTCCACCAATCAAGGAGATGGGAGCTGTCCGACACCGGGGTGCGACGGGACAGGTCACGTGAGCGGACAGTGGAAGACACACTACACGTGAGTGCTTTAGCCTGTTTTTATAGTGGTTGTTCGCTTAGGATGCTGAACACTAAGGGTAAACGTCGCATAAAATTGAAGTAGTAAAAATTTAGCTATCCTTTGGGGCTATGCTTAAAGCATTGTTGCTCATTCATTCTTGTTCTTCTCTTTTTCCTTTTGTACTTGGCCCGCTACTTTTACACAGAAGTACTCACTCGTTGATACATCCCGTTCCCAGTAGCCATGCTCCCCCAACCCTTTGTGCGCGGCAAAAGCTGAGGGGTCGTCGTTCCCGCCCGCAAGGGATTAGGGGAACGTGACTACTGGGAACGAGATTGTGGTTGGCATGAGTGATGTGTTGGGTACCTTTTTACGGCCTTGGTTGTACTGTGTTGATAACAGTGATTAAAAGTTAACTATGGCAAAAGTGGTCTTTATTTAGCCACAAGATAAATACATTATGTGTAAAACGTATTACGTAAAAAATACCTGATGAAAAACTAAAATTTGTCATGAATGCCTCCCCCAAGTGCGCAATACATTAATGTAGAGCGAAGTATATAAATTTAGTTTAATTTCAGAGCTGAGCAAAGAGTTTCCAGCAATCTGATTGGTCGAGCGGTTCCTTATATGACGCTATATAACCGCTCCACGCGTTTTATATAAAAACTTAAAATAAAATGTTTATAAATGTTACTAAAATGTTATGATTTTAGAAATTTCTCTGTTGTTCAGCTCTGAAATTATACTAAAACAATTATTCGCCGCAGGTTCGGTGAATATTGTCAAATAATCCCTTCGACTTCGTCTCAGGGATTATTCGACGACATTCACCTCGCCTTCAGCGAATAATTGTTAAACATTTAAGACCTCTATGTAAACCACTATTGTGATGGAGCTTCCTAATAAAAGATTGTTATTTTTATTATATACATATATACATATATATATTTATAAAACACCACATCAACAAGCCAATTCATACTTACCATAAAGGGATTGA